CAACCTTATTGAAGTATAATTTACATACAGTAAAAATCCATTTTTAAAGGTACACCTTGATGAGTTTTGACAAATAAAAAATCTTGTGAATCTAATACCTCAGCTGAGTCATAGAATATTTCCTGTCACCCCCATGAAGTTCCCTTATGCTCCTCTGCAGCCAACCTCCCACCCCTTCCCCAGGCAGCCACTCACCTGCTTTCCAACCCTGAGGCTTCAGTCGGCCCCTTCTCTAATTTCATGTAGATGGAATCATACACAGTGTAGTCTTTTGTGTCTGGCTTCTTTTGCCCGACATGATGTTTCTAAGATTCGACCATGTTTTTGTGTTTGTCAGTAGTTAATGGCTTTCTTTTGCAGAATAGTTTTCCATTGTATGGATGTACCATAATTTGCACATCCATTTGATAGCTGATGAACATTTGATTTGCTTCCAGTTTTTGACAATTACGAGTAGAGCTATTATGAACGTTTGTACACAAGTCTTTGGTAAAGTAGCTAGGACCAGAGCTGCGGGATCATTTGGTAAGTATATGTTTGACAGTTTGTAAGAAGCTGCCAGAGTCCTTTATAATGGTTATGCTATTTTGTATTCCCTCCTGGAATGTGTGTGAGTTCCAGTGGCTCACATCGTTGCCAATACTCTTTGCTTTATTTAATGTTAGACTAATCTAAGTGGGTACATAGATGCATCTCATTGTGGCTCTAAGTTTCTTTTTCCTGATGACTAACCATGTGGAGCATTTGTTCATGTGCTTACTGACCATTTATCTCTCTTTCGTAGTTTCTGTTCAAATCTTTTGCCCATAAAAAGAAATTTGGCGGTTTGTCTTATTGAGTTGGAAGATGGGAGACAATAGAAAATATATCGCTCTTTGCCCCCAATTCCTAAAACCCTTGTGAATTCCTAAATGATAAGAGCACCAGAAGCATCTTTTTGTTCTATTGAGTCAGCTCTGGGTGGGCTCCTGGATGAGGACCGGTCACCGGAAAGACCAAGCCATGATTAGTGGCTATGAATTTTCAGTCCCATCCCCATCCTCCCGAGAGGGGAGAGGGGCTGAAGTGGAGTTAGTATTGAGCACGCCCTCGTGAGGAGGCTTCCATGAAATCCCAGTAGTACGGGGTTCGCAGAGCTTCCAAGTGGATGAACACACCTACACCAGGAGAGTGATGTAACCCAGCTCCATGGGGCAGAAGCTCCTGCTCTTGGGACCCTCCCTGACCTCGTCGTGTGTATCTCTTTATCTGGCTGTTCATCTGTATCCTTTATCATATCTTTTAATAAGCCTGGAAATGTAAGTGTTTCCTTGAACTTGGTGAGCCGCT